ACATATATGCACAGTACCTGCATGTGTGATTGTATGCATGCACTTCTGTTCACTAACATCTCCTTCATATTTCCTTGTGTCTTTGGCCATTTTGTGTTTCAGATGAAGTTATTTATATTTTTAGTTATTGTTGCACAAAAAGAAATAAAAAATGGAAAGATGTAAAGTTTTGTGATGTATATATACTATACGCTGGAGTCATGTGCATCTTTTTTTGTGCATGAAAGGAGGGGGGGCTGTGGATTTTCCAGATTCATAAATTCATTAAATGCATTTTCTTGCTCGCACAGCCCAGCACTATCAACCAAGCCCACAGCTCCAATTAAATGAATGGTTACATAGCAACTACCTTGATCACTACTTTGAAAGCTTTGTGAGGAGTGAGTTGACTGACCTCAAGGCTATAGCTCAGCTTCAGCTACCCAATGAGGAGCTTTATGATGAACTCGAAATTGTTATGCCTGGTCACAGGAAGAGATTGGAGAGAGCAGGTAAGACATACTGAACTACTCTGTACACATTGTTGTAAGCCTACACAGTACTGTATTCCAAAAGTTCTGTCACACCCATCATACCACAATGATTTTCTCTAAAGCGTAAGAATTGCGTGGGTGGTTGGCGGGTGCTCTGGTGTGGTTTGCTCCTTCTTTCCTATCAAACATCTATCGTCCTTATCTCCCCTTCTTCTTTTTTTAGGTTTGTAACACCTTGTAACACCTCTGGTCCTCTAATCTTCTGGCGCTCATATGACCTTGCCTTATGCAGTTGTGAGTGCCGTAAAACCTCTACTAAAACTAAAAGAAATGCAGCAAAAATGATTAAGTATGACTTGTGAGACTTATGGGACTCCCCGTGCATGTGGAGACAGAAAAAAATCATTAACAGGAAGTAGTAGGCCTTACTTGGGGGAAGTGTTAGTATTGTTTCCCACGATGTACGTTGATACCAACGCATCCTACACTCAAAATTTGCTTTGAATGACACAGACAACAAAGTGTCAACACACGTTACACACTATAAAAATCAGTGCTTTTTAATGGTTGGGTCATTTGTTCACTGGTTTTCAAAATAACAAAACTGACAAATGCAGAACGTGAATGCGCTCTATCATGTATGATAAATTCTGGAATTGCGTTTTTTGCTGTTGCAAGACCTGTAAATTTGTGCAGATCAACCATCTAATGCTTGAATAAGCGATTTAACACCACTAGAACTGTCCAAGACAGGCCTAGACATGGCCTATCAAGGCAAACAACTCAACGTCTAAATTGGGTTATTGTCTACACCAATGTTCGAAACCTGTTCTAACTAAATGCAGAAACTGCCAGGTACTTCGGTCCATCTTGAAGCACCATTACTAGACAATTATGTGATCATGGATAACATGATTTTATCGCCCTTTAAGTGGAGCAATTCTAACTCTGCTTCATCAAAGAAATCACCAAGTTTGAGCGCAACAACATTGGCAATGGAACCAAAGACGTTGGTATAGCGTTCTGTTCAGTAATAGTCCAGGCTTTTAATTCGTCGCCTGAATGGAACAGAAAAGTGTTTAAAAGAAGAGAATCTAGATTTCACAAAGCCCACGTCTGCCAAGTGAATCGATTCAGTGGCTGGAGTGTGATGATGTAGGATGAAATCTCTGCTCTTGATAGAACACACTAGGTCACTATTCAATGCAACCTCAAAGGACGACAGTATTGTAACGGAATTATTCGTCCCCGTGTCCTTCCCTACCTGGTATGGATGATGGAATGTGCAAACAAGACGATTCCCGACCCCATGTAGTCATTGTCAGTCAAAACTCCTTCCAAACTCATCAAATCAATGTTCTAGACTGGCCTGCAAGATCAACAGGTCTTAACTCAACAGAACAACTACAAGATTACCTTGACCGGAGGATTCGAAACTGGCCGCACCCAGCGCAAACTCGTTTGGAACTATGGGTTGCACTTCAGAAGAAATGGCAGTGAAGATTGGTGTGACAGAACATTTGCAACACAGTATACAATGTTTGTAACTCTGGAATAGTGAAAACCCAGGATAAATGAAACAAATGAAACAGCTTTTTGTTTTGTGTGTTGTTGTTTTTTACCCTTTTCACTCCCATGATTAATGTACTGGAATAATAAGACAGGGTACCCTAAATCTGGACTGTAGTGTGGGAGTCATAACTCATCAGTGCTTGAAGAATAGATAACAAACAAACACACTTTATCCCTGCCAAAAAATCCTGTTAGGCAGAACATTAACATTTTGTTGTTTGTCTGCTGTAATTAGTGACTCAAGAGCATCATTTATGCATTTTATCCCCACTTTTTTCCACAAATACTGGACCCACTCACACACACACACACACACACACACACACACACACACACACACACACACACTCACATACACACGCACACACACACACATGTGTGTTTGTTTCAACAACACGACTTAACCCGCCAATATGCTCAAGACTACTAAGAGAGTAGACGTTGTACTGGCTCTACGGGCATTGCCCAAATTTAATTTTTAATTTTATGTTAATATCAGGACTACAAGGCCAATTGTAGTAGCATGCCAAGAGTTGTCTCTTCTTTATCTGTTGTCTCTTTTATCTCTTTAAGTCTTTGCCTATCGTCTCAACTTTTTTGTCACTTTTCAAAGTCTTTTTTCATGAAGAACAGAATACTGTTTCCTACCATAGCAAAATACAGAATGCACAATTCTTCCGCAGAAGATGTTAAAAATGGACTTAAATTGATGCTTCTCATGCAACTTGATTAATTAGTACGTTAAGAATCTTTCACTTATGTCACTTTTACTACATCAGATGCAGGACTCATTTTATAAAGTAGTAGCAGCATCAGCAAAACTGGGTCTGATCAGCAGCAGCAGGAAGACAAAGGCCATAAGAGCCAACACAACAATTTTAATTTTATCCGGCTTGCTGATAAACTTCTGGAAGAAGTAGACTCTTTCACTTATCTGGAAAATACTGTAGAGAAGCAGGGGAAAATGTTAGAATAGGAAAAGCGAGGGTGGTCTCCATGCTTAGAGTAGAGGAATCTGGAGTTCTAGTACTCAGTTGAGCCTAAACTTTGGATCTTCAGCTTCGACTGGGAATCAATCCTGTTATCTACCTGTATTATGGATTAAGGACATGGACAACCAATAGCACTATAACAAAAGTGCAAACCTATGTAAATATTTGGCTTTAAAGAATCCTTCTTGTGCATTAGCTCAATGCCATCAGCTCATGTAATAGAGAACTTTTGCAATGCTCAAATCAATAACAGATAGGACCTGGGATCAGAAAGAGATGATAGGAGTGTTGGAAATGGATCAGGCACACAATACAATAATGTCGATACCACAGACAAGATGTGTCATGCTTTTTCTGACAAGTGTAGTGTAAGCTCGATATATCTGGTGATTGTTTTTCAACATCTTTGATGCATCAAGGATTGCTGTCAGAGCCATCTTCCAAGAAATGTTTTTGATCAACTCTCTGGATCACGAGGATAACGGGCAGCGATTCGACCTTTTGTTGCCTGCTATTTCAAGTCATTTCTTCAATAAGTATCTGAAAAAGTTTCTGAGGTTCAGATGGACAGACAGGGTTACCAAAGAGGAAATATTAAGAAAAACAAGGCAGAGTCCAGTCGGTAATGAAGTAGGAAGAATGTGGTCGCGATGAATTCTAACATACCCTCAGGCAGCTGCATGACAAAGAAAGTGCTGGGTTGGAATCCACAGGGTCAAAGATAAAGGGGAAAACCTCGTGGAACCTGGAGAAGCATCTCTGAGAATGAGTTACAGATAAATGGAAAAATGTGGAAAACTGTCAAGAAGCTTGCCAAAGTGTGGGGAAAATGGAATGTGTTTGTCAGTGGCCTTTTTACCCTGATCCAGGGTGAGAAAGTCAACAATGATGATGATTGCAGATCAAAAGAAGAGCAATAATCCCCCACATTTGCATATCAGACACATTTCATGAAGAAAAACGCTGTAAACACTAGAAAAAACAATCAAGGGACCTTCTGCTTAGAAAACGAAGACTGATTTGAAATGTTGAGTAAAGAGAGGCAGGCAAGAGGAGAAGCATTGATGGAAGAATAAAACAAATGTTCATATTATTCAAATGTCTGGAAATTTCAATTTCAGATATATACATTCTGTATATGATTTGATGCAATAGCTCGTCAGAGCTTTAATAAGGTATCACGTTTAAAGTTCTTCCTGTAGATATTTCAAGAGTTTAACCATAATAATATATATCTGTATGTTCTTATGCCTTGGAGCTTTTTTCCTTAATTTTTCATAATTGGTTTTTATTTTGGGGCTCAAAGGGATAATTTGCTGCTAATATAAAATCTTTTTGTTTGTGTAAAATAATAATCTCATATTGACTGCTCAGTGTAAGGCTCCATCATACGTCGCTTTTCCTAATGGGTTATGGTGGAGTCTTACACTTACACTGAGCAGTCAATGTAAGTTTGAAATCTGGTACGACATAATGTTGTTTTTTCTCTCATCCAGTGAGGAAGCTTTGGCAAGATCAAGCGAAAAGTGAAGGTGCAGAACTGCCCATTACTCAGGGCTGGTGGGGCAAACCAGAGTGTCTGCCACAGGCAAAGTTTGACTTCTTGTGTGTGAGGGCAGCTCTCTTTTCCGGCAAGGAACGGCAAAATAAAGTGCATGTTGGTGAGGATTTTTGCAGCTTTTTTTGTTTTGTAGTAGGTGTTCAACATCCTTAAATTTTCTGTTTTGATTCTCTCTGTGCTGTGCATGAATACACCATGCCTTATTTTTGTACTTTTTAAAAGATTTCTTTTAATAAATTCTTCTACAAAAGTAGTTTTAAAAAATCTTGCTTCATTTCTGGGTGGGGTGATTAAGTTCAATTTCTACCTCCCCCCACCCAAGTCTGACCTCCAATCCATATTTCACCAATTATGGTCATCACTGTGTTAGAACAAACTCTGTAAGCCTTTCATATATATATATACCTTTCCATCACTGTCTGGAACAAAAGGAGCAACTTTACTTTCGGTAAACTGTTCTGTAAAGCCAGGTCTCACAAAGTTCATCATTTTTCTTGTGACAATAATGATATAAAGTGTAATGGTTCTCGTTCATCTTTCCTATTTCTTGTCTGCCTTGTTTCTTATGCTGACTGTCCTTGCGATGCAACTTATAAATATTCTCAATGGCTTGTATGTACCATAGTCATGGTTACCCATTAGTAAAATGTAATGCTCGTAATTGTTTTACGGCTCGGATGACACAATGTAAATCTTTGACTGCTTTGACCCTAATGGTCAAGGCCAACCCTGCCGAGTGAGGTACAACCCTGTGGACAGAAGCAGATACTAGGGAATTGAACACACATCTTCTTCATGCAATAGAAAAGAACTTTTAATACTTCACCACTGATGCCAGATACTCATTGTTAGCTTTCACACAAATTTGAACCCCCTTTTTTATTTGTGTTGTGACAAGCAGATTTCATGGTGGACTCGGGCAGTGATGTGTCCACCGTCCAGGAAGACACCCTGAAGCAGCTGAACCTGGAGCTGCTAGGCTCTGTGTACAGCTGTGGCATCCACGGGGGGAGCCACACCAACTTGTACAAGGCCAGACTGGCCGTTGGAACTCAGGAGATGGACATTGAAGTATGTCTTAAGCTCTCTGTTATCTCTGCTGATTGGATAAGAGATGGGCATTTAAGTATGTTTTAAGCTCACAGTTGTTTCTCTTGATTGGGCAGGAGAGAGACTTTGTCGTAAGTCCTCAGTTCACAGGTTTTTAAAAATTGATTGGGCAGGATAAGGACATTGAAGTAACTCTTATGATCACAGTTTCTTCTTTAGCTTCTGTTCTGTCTGATGGTGAGATATATGTTCTCTCATTTAAAGGATCTTGAAGTAACTCTTCTAATCACAGTTTAATGTGTTAATTGGACATGAGATGGGCATTGAAGTTAGTTAGTATTGGGGATACTGTTTAATCTGTTGAAAATATTCTAGACTGTCCTTGGCGTTCAAGGTCCACTGATTCTGGTCCTCAGTTTTAATGAGGGGGCTTAAGAATGTGCTCCAGTTTTCTCAGAAATGGGCATAAATTCATCAGTTTTGCCTCTTATATATTGAAAATATCGTTCAAAGGACAGTTAACCTCAAAATGTTAAACTGCACTTGCTGTCTTGTCTTTACTGTTGGTAAACAAATAATGCTCCTTTTGAGAATTTTTCTATAGAATCTCATGGCTTATGTCTCAAGTTAACTTGGCTCCAGCATAGGTACCATTATTTGAAAGACTGTTATCAAATTTTGAAAAGACTGTACTTTAGTGTGCCCAACGTTGATGTGCAGAGAAATGTACATTTACCCCCCCCCCCCCCCCCAAATCCTTGTTATTTAATGTGAAATATTATTATAGTTTCTATTTCAGTGAATGAGTCGGCCTGTCACCTTTTTTCTTTTGTCTAAATCAATCCCTCTTTCTATTCCCCAGGGCTGGGTTTTACCACCATTACATCTTACGATATTTATATTTTATTACCTGCCTACATGATTCTTTTAAGTTTATATTTTCGCCAATTTAATGCTTCTTTACATAATTTTCCTGAAATGGAAAGCTCATAATATTCATAATTTTTAGAAAGAAAAACTTATTCTCTGAAAACAGTGTGAAAGAGAGTTTTAGTTAAGGATAAAAAAAATTCTCTCAACAATTTTTTTCACATGATTATTCCAGAGTGAGTGTGCTCCTCCTTGCATGGGAAGACACAAATGTGGAGATGCATGTGAAGCCAGTAGTGCGGAAATGTAGCCTCTGGCTGCGTGTTTTTGGGGACAGTAAAGGATATGGACACTAAGGCTAATGTACATGCAGAATTCCAGTTCCACTATGAAGGGCATGCCATTCCATTCAGGTGTGATCTGAGTTACTTTATCATGAAAGTGTGATTTAGCCACCAGTGAACACTGGCATCTGTATAATATTAATAATATTAAAAATAATAATATTAAGAAGAGGAAGAATGATGATGATAATAATAATAATAATAATAATAATGATATATTGCATTATATAGCGGTTTGTGGTACATGAGCACTGAGATTTATGGATTTGTTCCTTCTTCATTACAGATAATGGCCAGCAATTATGATTCTCTGGGCAGTCGAGTTGTTCGTAACTTTCGACATGTCATCGATGGTCAGAAGCACATCTGGCTCAAGGGAAACTACCGGGACTCACTGCCAGCAGTTCTTCCTCTTCCTGCCCCATTGTCTGTTCCGGTGAGCAGGGCAAAAGATGGTGCTGAGCCCAATGCTGGCAGCAAGGTGTCTCCTCCAGATGGAAAGAGTCTGTCTATTGGTCAGTCTCTCCAAGATGGTGATGTTGGTAAACACCAAGGCATAGCAGGAAGTGCCCTGGGAGAAGATGTGGATATGTCAAGAGTACAACAAAATGAGTCTTGCCTACGCAGTGAGAATGCAAGTACTGTGTTAACAACTCTTGGTGCTACAGAAAAGAAGACCCATGGAAGTGTCGATTTAACAACTGGAATACATAATTCTGGTATTGCACATGCCGGCAAAAATGGGACCTTGTCTATCAGTGTTTCAGATTCCAATAATAAAAGACAACTTGATGAAGTCAGCAACAACGTGATGATAGTGGATAGAAATTTTAGCAGTTCCTCCTTGAGTGACGAGAGCACTTCCGCAGATTCGGGACTCACATCAGCTACTTCAAAAGGAAAACGGACGCTGTCTCCAAATTGTCAAGACAAAAAACGAAAGAAAACTTCTCTCCTGGACTACAAAAGATTAGAAGGGCAAGGTGCACTGTTTGATCATCCTGTTCCTTTGACAGAACAGGAAAGAAAAGGTGTTGGTGATGCCCCAGCACAGATCTCCATGAAGAAGTCTGTGGAGGATTTCTCTTCTCCTACCACAACTCAGGCCTCCTCTTCATCTTCTGTCTTCTGTTGCAATGCCTCAAACAATGCTTCCAATGAGCCAAATGCAAAAAGCAATAGCTGCAACAATTCACATCAGGATAGAGTATCTCTAAAAAATATAGTGCCTGCCAGTCTTAGAGACACTGACGATGACATTGATCATATGGACCCCTCAAATGTAAGCATAAACAACAACACTTGTGAGGACATTCTAACTGTTTGGGAGCCGAGACCTTTCGGTGAAAGGGACGAGCACATTGCTGATGACATTATACACATATCTTATGGGGATGACAATGATCCTGAAGAAGATGAAATCAAACATCCCTCCTCTCATCTACATTCCAGTTACTCTTCTTCCACTTCGCAAGAGATGAGGTCTATGTTACCGCAAAGACCAAATGATATTGTGATTGTTTCGCTTGAACAGCTAGAGGACTCTCAGAGTTCTTTGACCCAAAACTTCTCATAAACTTTGATTATGTGTACTCAAAGCACTGAACATGACTATGTTGAAAAACGGGTTAGTTTTTAATTCTTTCCAAAAGGAGTGTTAAGTTGTGCTTACTGTTAAGAGCATTATCAAGTACATAAAATGGGGAATACATGTTTCAATGCTGGTTTTTATGTAACCAAAACAGTGCTTTCTTTTCTTTTCTGATACAGTGGCCATTCCTTATATGGAAATATTTCTGAGCAGTGACAAAATAATGCAACTCACTCTTTTTGTGATTCGTTTCCTATTCATATATTTGTCTGAAGCTCCTTTTCTTTTATCAATCAGCGGCGTAGGAAAAAGTTAACATGCTGTTTGATTGTCTTTACCTGAAGGCCAACACAACATAACAAGAACTTGCTTGGCTAACGTGTTTACAGTACTCTAAGGTATCGAATAAGCATCGCGGCCCCCCACCCCCACCCCCCTTTTTAATTTTCTGATTTTTTTTTGCACACCCCCGCTCCTTATTCCATACACCTCTTCCCCCTCCCCCCGTTTATTATTATTTTCCAGCTTGCCACGACCGACGATCATTTGAAATATACCTAGAATCTAGATATCTGAATGAAACTTCTTTTTTTTGGGGGGGGGGTGGGGGGGGGGAAATGGAAAATAACCCTCAGTATTAGTACCGGTACCTGGTGAGCTACCTCAATTTTCCGTGCATTTTTTAGACTTTTGTACTTTAGTTTATATTTTTTGTTGAAACTGGTTTTTTCCATAACAGGAAAAGTTGTCGCAGTAGCTTACTAAAATGTCATGATCTCTTGTTCTTCTATTCACTGAAGGAGAAATAAAACAGATTTGTTTGTACTAGTACAAAAGTATGAGGTTGAATGTGCCCCTCCCCTTATTTATTCCTAACCCACCCCACCTCCCTTTTATTCGATACCTTAGAGTACCAGTTTACTGCAAATTACTGATAGTATTTAGTATTTGGGCCTCCCTGGGAACACACATCGGACATGTCACTAGCATTAACACTTACTGTCTCAGCTAATTGGTGAGATTCCATTAGTAGCTGGGGATACTGAGGAACCATACTAGTACCCAACAGAAGAGCTGTCCCTTCTCAATCTCAGCCAGAAACCAAACTCACTTTTTAAATTTGAATTGCGAATCTGACACCTTGCGACTGACTAGGATGCTCTCACTCCCAAACACACTTAAAGAACATTTTTTTGTTCTGATCTAACTATATTTCAAGATACTTGTCTCTCAGTCAGTTTTGGTCAAAATGAAATGGTCAAAAAACAACAAATGTACAGTCAGACACGGATAACTCTAACACGAGGATTGTGACAAATGTGTTAACACATTCATAACTCGAGTAAGCCAAAATAATAAAATTTAAAGAGATATCAGTCGGGAAATGGCAAATTGTACAAGCTATCTGTGAATTTAAGTTTTCTGTGTTCATGTTATCTGTGCCTGACAACTTCCGAATCGCATGATTGCTATTTATTTGCCTCTCTTGTGTGAGTTTGATGAAAAGCCAGGGCTGATCTTTACAATAATATAAGCTCCACTGTTGTTGTCAAGTGATAATATATGTATTACTATTACATATAATTATTTTTTTCTCTTTACTTGTGTTTGGCTTCATTCGATGTTTTTACTAAATATAAGTATGTTGCTTATTTCTTATCTTCTTTGACGTTGTTACTGTTGCGTCTTCTGAGGTACAAAAGGCAGGGTGGGTACAAGATCTGTGCCTCATTAGGAGCCAAGATTAAAACTTTAATTAAGAAGGCATACTGTTGGTTATTGTAGTCTTTTTAAGAGTTGTTGCTTGTTATTTATTGCTGTGTTATTCTGTTCATGTATGTGTTACCAAGTATAGTACAAAGAAAAGTGTTCATAAATGCAATACACTATACATGTAAATTTCTACATTTTATTTTACTGTACTCATGGCATATTTTGATTTAGTATTTTTAAGTGCCTGAGGGACGCAAGCGCTATATTTCTTATTTCTAAAATGTCAAATATATTGTTTTGAAAGACAGACGATTTGCTTTTGTTGCTCATGTTTAGCCCTTAAAAAGGCAACTGTTGCACATAAAGTCGATTGTACTCTACTAAGCACTTTATACAAGATAAAATGTTTTGTACTTTGCTGAAATACTTCTGTTGCCTTCTGTTTGTTTTGGGATTGCTTAAGAGCATCCACACATAGTGTTCAGTTGTCAGTTAGACAGTCCTACTGGAGACAAAACCACATTTTTACAATAGGTCAGATAACCTCTTTGATATTGATAGAACACATTTTGTTGAGGTTTTGTCAAAGCTACGTGTATCTTACCTTGGCAGCTTCAAAGGTGAGAGCATAATACGGTGAGGACCACTGTACATTAACACTGATGGGATCGACCTCACACTTGACTTTTAGTTCCTGAGGACCGAAGCTGCTGCCCACTTGCTATTACAAAATAGATTACTATTACTCACAATTCACATATATATGAATAACTCAGCCCCTAGTAAAGTATGGCCTTTAAACTTCACCAAACTGTTTAGAATATGTTTCCATTTCATTTTTTAAAATACAGTCAAACCTGCCATGACGGCCACTTTCCATTTCCCCCCTTGCGTTTTTTCTATATAATTTAACTGTGTAAAACTAGCACCTGTCAAATGCGGCAGCGGCCACCATATTTTAACACACAACCCCTACCACACTAAGCAATAACACCTGTCTTAGACGGCCACCTTAGTGACTCCATTACGTTTTGTCGTAAATTGTGCATTGGCCCCTGGCGTTGTGGGCAAGCCGTCATAATAATTCAATCACCTGTCGTTGTTGTTAGGTTGTCCCTCCAACCGATCATGTTGCGTGGGCCCTTCCCACTGTTGACCAATAGCTACCAATTTTCAGCTGCTGGTGAGGTAAGCGTGTGATCCCTCATAACCCATAAGCCCCACACAGAACTCATACACAAATCGTAAGTGAGATGAGTGGTCACTGTTTACCCAGTCTGTAACAAAGGACATCAACATGAACTTGTGACAGTAGCGTCGCTCGTTCTCCGAGTGGTGGCGACCCATGTGTTTGTTTTAACAAGGCACTCGGTCTTCCTCGTCTGATACATTTCATTTTATTGTCACCCTTGTGCAAAATCAGCAACAAAATAAAAATTACAAACAAAATACAAACCAACAACAACAACAAAAACAACAACAATGCGGCTACTTTCGATTGGGACCTCAGATGGGAATTGTTGGTTTTCTTCATCTTGATCAGTCCTGCCTAAGACGGCCACCTGTCTTATACGGATACCTGGATAAAACGTTGCTTTAAAGTCATTTCATTTTAATGAGAAAAAGCACACATTGACATAAAACATGTAGGCCTACCCAAATAGGCATGTGGCTTTCTCAAATGCAGCATCAATAGGTAGTAAAATCCTTGTAATGGTGGATTTATCAACACCTGTGTGCAGGAATAGAGCTTATATCGTATACATTATATAGTATATGACATTTGTTGTATTTGCAGTGTGTCTGCTGAGCACATCAGCTGCTTGGGCAGTTGGCAGATGCTCTGCTTCTTTCTTTCATATCAAACATTTATCATCCTCTTCTCTCCTCCTTTTTTGTTTGTTACCCTCTGGTAATACTTTTATCTCTAATCTTCAGTGCTTATAATAGGCCTACTTATGTGACAGAATTCAAATAGTGTTGAAGGTGCTGTTAGACGCTTTCTAAAAAAAAAAATATTGGTTGCCTTTATTCCTTACTTGAAGCGCTTCTTTCCTCCACTTGAAATATTAACCTATCTCACTGTCTCACAGACGGTTAAGACTTCCCTCAATTGAACCGACGAACAGAAGTATGACTTGTCTGAGAATGCATTCATTGTTTTACAAGTCCAGGGAATTATCAAACTGCTAGCATACAAAAGATGTTTTGTTTTAGTAGAGGTTCTACGGCACTCGCAACTTCATACGGTCATATGAGCGCCAGAAGATTAGAGGTGTTACAAGAGAGTAACAAACAAAAAAGAAAAAGGGGAATATAAAGACGATAGATGTTTGATAGGAAAGAAGGATCAAACCACACCAGAGCACCCGCCAATCACCCATGTACAAAAGATCTAGCTTGTTCACTTTCGTCTGAAAGCAGTTAAAACAATATAAAAACAAATCTGTTTAATCTTCTCGGGTCGGGGCATACAAGTTTAAACATTAAATGACCAACAGAATCTAAAAGCCCGTTTAAGGTCATTGCAAACTAAAGTTTCAACACATTTTCTTTGATATAAGTGTAAAGCTGGTCAAAAATATAATAAGAGACTTACAGCATACACCTAGAAAATAAAAAGGTTGACTTATTTCGATCAACACAACACTTCAACGCATGCCTATGAAACACCCGACGAGTGAGCACTTTCCAACACACACAAGGAGAAGTCTAGACAGCGTAGAGAGGAATTTATCTAACAAGCTCGCACTAAAATGTGAGGGCAGGGTGTTGTCACTGTCTCAAAATGAGCAATTTGTAGGCAAAGTAACTAAATCATTTATGTTAAAGATCCTGTACATCTTATGCACCCGTTGAGTACCGTATGAGCGGTGTCCAATAAAACATCCACCAAATAGAGAAACTTTTTCATTACTGTAACTGAATAACGATTTTTTTATTTTTTTTTGGCCAGGTGTACCATGCCTAATTTCATTAACACAGAGGTAAATTGATAAATGAGCTAGAATTATTTTAAGGCTCATGGACAGACGAAAGTGAACAAGTTATAGTAGCAGTGCCAGTGGCCTGAGAATTTACTTTGCTGTGGAACTAAAATAAGTCACATTGAATCAAGATGATTAAGTTTACAAACCATCGTGATGCGCCCATATTGTCTTGTTGAGTGGTGAACACAAGCCACAATCATACTTTCAACTTGAGTGCTGTAACCAATCACAAAAAGAGGTCTTGCACAAACAAGTGGGAGATTTTTGCTTTTTCATTATTTTGAAACTTCATCTACTTCTTCATTTCACAACATGAATCACTAAAGTGTAGAAAATTTAAATGTATTGCGATGTCGCACAAACCTTTTTTTTCATGAGGAGGAAGCAGTGGTTAGCATTTACCTGTGGCAAAATGAAGCGATAGTTTCCTAAGACTTTGCTTTCAAGAACAGGAAAAAAAGTTCATAGAAGCTTTGATGATATATTTGGTGTCACAACATTCTCAAATTTATACATGTATTTTTAATACATTGTACATTGATCTACATACAAGATCAAGGAAGGGAAGTCTTGCCGAGATATGTTTCAAAACAAATCCTTTTATAGAAGTAGACTCATGTCACGTGACTGCCTCATCAGCAGGGAATATCTACCTTCACTTTAGGGAAAATTGGCATTTAAAAAAGACATTATTTTACTGGTTGAAGTAGTTTCTTCTATTTCTAGCAATGACAAATACAGAGGTGTAACAGAAGAATGAAGAAAAAAAATGCGACAGTTTTGCAGCATGGAATCACTGTCATGAGGGTATGAACAGGTAAATATGAGAAGTTGCCCAGTGACTGAGGGCTAACCAAATTTTTGCAAATGGCACCAAACTACGATCAAATAGAGATGAACAACAATGTGAAGGGCTACAAACTTTTAATCAAGTATACAAGTAACATAACATTACACAGATTTAACAACATTGCAAAGAGAATTGCAGACTGGTGAATTTCCAGAGATGAATCATAACCATTATTTTAAGTAACAAAAGTTACAGTTTTATAACTTTAAAAAACCCAGACATCAGACATTAAAAATAAGAAAAGAAAAAAGATCCTGGCACATCATTTAAAGATCTGCCATTTGTTTTGACAATATTCTATAAGCTTAATGATTAATTCATGCCCTTCATATCCTTGTTCTTGAACGAAATTTTTCGTAACAAAAAATGTTGACAGAACACATGCCAAGCATGTTGCCTTAAAGAACAAAAAGATGGCAGTTTGATGGCGTTGATGAAATAAAAATGAGAATAGCAGCAATTGGCTATAATAGCACAAACAATGGGACAAACATTTAAGCAATAATGCAACTTCAAAACAAATTATAAGTAACAAAGTTGTAAAAATTGTAAATTTCATAATAAAAACAAATACAGGAGCACCTAGAGAAAGTCTATACGATCCCAAATTTTTATCCATAAAAGTAACAAACATTAGATTTCTATGCAGGTCAGGAAATCCGATGTGTGACCATATAAAAGATCAAAAACTACAACAAATACTTGGTCTAGAGTTTCAATTCTTCAACATAATATCTTTGTCTTGCACAAGATTATCAATCAAAACCCACTAAATCAAATGCAATTGCTTATCAGTGACTGAAAATGAACAATAAAAGAAAAAATGAGCCTTGAAACTAACAATAGTATTTTGATACAGAATCTTCCTCAAAAGAAAACAATTCTTTCCTCATGTACAATATACAGGGTGATCCAAAAAAAACTTTACAACTTTTTTTCTGAATATCTCGCGCCAAAGTTGTTCTAGAATGCTGTAATTTGGAACAGTCATAATTCATTCAAAAGGAATTTGTTTGACATAAAATCCACGAAGAAGAAACGTGTTTTGAAAACGGAAACGGCTAAAAAAAAAAAGCACCCAAAAACGCAAAGTTCACCAATATTAAAAATCCTGTAAGGGAAGTCGTGAAAAGATTAGTTTACCTTTTTCTTTATTTTCTCTTTGACATTAATTTTCCCTCCCTGTGACATTCAAACAATATTTAATTTCTTTTACAGAGTTTTAAAAACCTAATGATTTCATTCTGAAATTCTTAGAAGCAGTGCTCCACATTCCCTCCTCTGGACTCGACACATTTTTAACCCGTCGTTCGGAATGTTCAGTGGCGCCCTAACATAAGGACCTGCTAAACCATGAGAATTTAAAGCCACATATACTGCACATGTTCTCTAAGAAGTGGCTTCTAGAAACAATAGAGTGGGGTGCCCAATAGACAGCATTTTTGGAGTTAACATATCCCCCAAGGTGAAAATGGGCTTTGCACTAAACCAAATGTCATCGAGGAAATGGTCCCTCTTTACAAGACAATCGAAGAATCATGAACATATTGCCATGCTCTGATCCATGTCATCTCAGCCTAGAGAAGATGAACAAGGTATAGTCGTAGGTTTAGATCTGCCCTGAGAATGCAGACTGTTGATGTGTAGGAAAGTCCTAGCTGCAGACCATCAACGGACAGACGTCTCATGGGACTCGGCTACTGAAACCTGCACTCTGGTGACGTTTAAAGGGCTGCGCATGGTGCAGGTTCGACCTCAAGTGGTCATTTTTTGAAGAACTTTTTAGATGTGATTCGCTATAGATCCAAACTGACTGAACTTCTCTACTCATGACACCAAAGGTCTTGAGGGCACCTAAGCATTCTCTCCATCCTGTGCGCAGAGCTAACGAAATGCCAGGGATGGTGAGTTTGTGGAGAGGTAATGTTCAATACAAAAAGCTCTCTGCTCTTTACTAAACGTGGCCATGATCTCAGCAGGCAAACAAAATTTGGGAAAAATAATATCTGCAGACTTCTGTCGACGTGTTAGACTGCTGTAGCTTGCAACATGGCGCGATTGCTGCAACTTTTAGTGGTAGGCCTAATGCGAACTGGTGCGCCATGCTATGAAAATGGCGACAAGGTTGAAAATGGGTTGTTTTTTTAATGCGTTATATAGAGCAAAACCATAAGATGGACTTATCTAAAATACATATGAGACAAATTCCTTTTGACTTCCACACGTTATGTTCAAATCTGAAACACAAAACTTCAGTATGGAGGAAGATATTTACAAAACAAGTTGTAAAGGTTTTTTTGGATCACCCTGTACATTGAACAAACTTTAAAAAAGCAACAAATTAAAAAAAGGAGGGGGGGGGGGTACCTGCCACTGCTGATAGAACAAAATCAGACAAAAAGTATTGATTTATTTTGATAAAACATTTGTTAAGTCGACGTTTCAAAAATGTTTCACACAGTAGTCTCCCCTAAAGATTCCAAAGCTCTAGTGTCAGAGAAAAGTGGACTCTTTGCTAGTCGATCAGAGCAGCGACCAACCCAATGATCCAGCCTGAATATTCCACCCTTATTTTGAAATCGCCACTTATTACCCTATTAATGACACCAGTACCAGGCTGGGAAAGAAACTCTGATACTACGTTAACAGCCTGCAACAAGACAGTCCAACATACTTGGTTCATAGAGAAAAATGTCTTGAAATATCAACCCTTTCTTTTCCCCTTTCCCTAAAGAGAGACAACTTGAGATCACAGAGCCACATATAATGGTAAAGTGCCAGCAAACATGATAATAATTTTGTGGGCGCCAATATATCCAGATGAGACAATCACCAATGTAGACAGCAGACAGGTTGTACACATCAGCGCTGGGGACTGAGACAGCCACTGCCAATATTGACTGAATAAGGATACTGCCACATGTGACCATTCAAGCTGATGGGAGCATGGAAGGTACAGTGGTGGGGGACCTTTCCACTCCTTAGTATACTAAGTATACTGAGTATTGATAATACTGACACACTGAAAACTCACAAATAGCTCATAAAATGAATGCCTGTGGTTAGTCATACTTCCTCAAGGGAATATGCTGCTGATGTTTTAGTTTTAGTAGAAGTTTTTCTACGCTTTTAACTGCATACGGTCACATGAGTGCCAAGGGGTGGATGTAAACAGATTACAGGGAATCAGACTTGCTTGCTCACCTCTCTTGCTTCAACAGCACAAAGTCTGCTTCGACTATCAAGGCACCCCGAAAATAGCGGGTCACAAGAGTGTGACAAACATACAAAAGAAGTAGAGGAAAATGACAATAGGTAAGGATTAGGAAAGAAAAAGCAGCAGTTCCCCGTTGCAGATCAGGCACAGTTATGAGCGTGACATTGATGAATCAGCCCATTTACAATTCTACTGTGCATGAACAAAAAATGCCCCCCCCCCCCCCTCCCCCTTTGGGAATGACCTAAAGACAGCCCAGCGGGGTCGCTGATATTTCTATCTTGAAATGAGGACTTTTCATACTTGGCTTAACATTGAAATTATACATTTGGTGGGATAGAGATAGAGGAAAAAAGGTTCAAAACTCACATTTATTACAGTCCTTAGCCGACAGAGGCAAATAATGTTGCAAAATGATGAAAATTTATCAATTGAAAAGCTTGTTGCTCAATTAATTATACAGCAATCTTCTTCAAATTTTGTGAGGATATAAAACAAACTAAAATCTAAATTCATACAACAAGGATTTTCAATTAAAGCAATTTTGAAGAATTTACCGTTTCTACACTGAAGTGTACACACAGTAATGACAATTTAAGGGGGTAGGGCTGTTAAATAACATTTTTCTTTAACCCTATCTGTACGCCCTGGGGTCATTTTGTAACGCCGGGGTTGTATTCTTCACATCTCATAATACTTCTCACACGAAAATCTCCTTGAAACTTTCAGTATTTCTCAAAATATCATTTTGACAGACTGCTATGCAAAGCGTACAGACTACGGACGGGATTAACAAGTAAATTTCCTCTTTAGAAAGTGGTGGCACAGAGTTCCCACGTCGTATGGATATGATAGTAAAACATGACGTACAGATAGGGTTAAAAGCACTTTACAAATCAAATTTTCCTGTTGTATGAATGGCCATAACATCATAAAAGACCTGTGTACAAAGTTTCATCCAATTTGGTCCACAAATAATGGAGTAATACCAATTTGTTTTTAAAAATATTTGCTAAATGAGAAAATCACAAAAAACGACCCCAAAAAGTCATATTTCACTCAAAATTTCTCAAATTATTTTGTTCCCACGCTTGTATCTTTCAAGCGTGGTATCGATTCCGGAAACGCAAAAAGCGGGAAATGAGCTAAACAGCGATACCAAAACACCTCGGGGAATATGTTGTTTCAATTATTACCTTACTTGGTTCAGTTTAAGAGTTGTTTTTCAACAAAATACATGAGGAAAGACCTATGCCTACATATTTCAAGGGCAATTTATGTCAAGAAGAGAACTTTCTTCAGTATAAATGATCGTATGACGAAGTGTAGAAATGGTTGAACAATCGAAACTCATCAAAATTCTCGATTAAAATTTTATTTTTGACCCGATTTCCCATCAGCATATTTCCTTAATCTAGTAACTGTCACAACATCCATGACTTTTTCCTTAAATCAAACTAACTACACAGCCCAACTTACATTTGATATACTCCCCACGACTATTCAAAATAACAGAAACAAATAAGCCTTTCTGGTCCAAGGAAATAGGGAGAAACAAAAACAAATTAAGAGATTTCAATAACATCTTCAGCATCACCAGAGCTCAAATCTTGCTTCTTGCGCTTGGACTGAACCTCCGAGTCTTCATCCTCACTGGCTGGCCTCTTCCTGCTGTGCGCTTCTGTTGCCAGTGTCGCTGTGCTTTGTGTAATTTCTGTTCTTTCATCATCACTGAGCATTATGAGATCATCCTCATCTTTACTTGCTGTACAAAGAGAAACAATTGAGGATTCGTGAAAAACATTTATGTGTAATATGAATTCATCTTTTTGTACAGTGGCCCCAGCTAAAACATCGATTATCTTTATCTTTCTTTTTCAGGTACCTTAGTCTCATAGAGTTTGACTAAACATCATATGATGTTATATGGATGGGAAATAATAATAATTGCATTTATAATATATAGTACATACATGCTCAACAACGTTCTGTGCCTGTTTCAACTTTTCAGAAAACAGTTGCCACAGTTGAGAGAAGAGACAAACATAGATCTGTGGTAGACCGAGAGCCCTTTTCATGCAATTATCCATTCCCGTACCAAATCTCGCCACCCCATGGGGAGACTGTGACAAAGTGGTGCCAGACCAAGATCACATTAAATCGGTGACAGGAAAAATTTCCATCCACACCAAATAGCATCCAACTTACACTCCTCTGCCTTTATGGGCTGTGCTTGGCTGGGCTAAAAAAACCTGCTTTTATGAAAAGCATATAAGTAACCTGTTCCAGACAAAGAAAATTATATGGTTGTTACTTACCTGGACTCTCTCAAATTATAATACTGCTGTTACTTTTTTTTATGGGAGTGCTTATTTAGGCCACATATGGCCTAAATAAGGTAAGGGAGGGGGGTTTAACTTATTTAGGCCACACATGCTCAAACAATAGATGATTATAATGCTGGGTGACTGCCAACCAAGCTTCTCAATTTTCCAAGGGAGGGGGGGCCTCATCCATTTTCCAGGGGCATGTTACCTAACAATGACAGCCCGTGCTTCATTTATATCTAATATAATATATATTAAATGTATATGTTTGTGAATACACACACACACACATGTAGGTACACTATCTCTGCTGTCATAAAAACCAGAGCTTATGTCTTGAAAAAACAGCACATTGTTCACTCAACACACAAGCTTTGAAACACAATCAGAGATATTGCAAGAGAATAACAAACACACAAAAAAAAAGGATGGGAGATAAGGATGACAGATATTTGATAGGAAAGAAGGAGCAAACCACAACAGAGCACCCACCAACCATCCATCTATCACCGGATACATAATATGCAATACCTGGAAAAAAATGCCGGTACCACCTCTAACCAGCTTTTATACAAAAACCACAATCACTTTCTCTTGTCACCAATATTAATAGGAGCTTAGGTCATGAAAATCTCCCCTTTTTTTGGCCACTTTGTTCAACAAAAAACCCCACAGATGTACATAACAGCATGAATCCTCAAGCAAAACAAGGTGAACCAATTCACACAGAAAAATACTTTTTTCCATGCAAATGATGCGATTCTGTAATTTCAGCATATCCCATACATTATATTGATTGCTTGTGATCATTGTACATGTGTATACTCACTAATGTTACATGTTAAATTTTGAAGCAGTAAAAACCATGATTCATTCTTTCGTCAACTACTCATCAACTTGAAAAGTGAAAACCAGGCTTGGGTCTTCTTCTTGCAATATTCTCAACTTAAATGAACGAAAAGAGAAAAGAATCTTGTGCATCCTTACAATTGAACGCATTGAAGACTGATATTACATTACTTCCTTCTATGTCAGTTGTTCACTGGAAGCATTTACAATGACAATCTTTGCCTATTTCATGACTTGATAGGCATAATTTCTTCTCAAATTCTCTGCTCCAGCCATTAGTTTTACATTCGTTTGTTTGTTTGGCTTTTGAGTAGCACTGAGGTGACCACAGACACTATTTAGGACAGGGACGTATTGTGATATTGAGGCCTTGTGATTTGATTGGTCTGGTCACACGACGCCTGTAATCATATTGTATCTGGTCAAATGATGTGGATCGGTACTTATTTATACCAGAACCTCCCGAAAACAACCGAAACCTCCCAAAACCACCCGAAACCATGCAAAAACCCGAAACCCCCTCAAAGTTTCTATGATATGATGTTATTTGCTATGCTATCTATCGCTCTGTGGATAAAATATTCTGCCGGCTGGTTCTTGGTTCTTTTTATAAGAGAAAATGAAGGTTTGTGAAATCTTTTTCCAACTCCATTCTTTATTTTGTTTTAATTAACTGATGAGCGACTGCTCAGGTTGCAATTAATAGCCTGTACTTCTTAGAATTTTAATTAGTGTTATAGTAGTATCGTATGTACTTAACCTACTTTGTAGATGTGTTACACTCACAGTGTCATAATACAGAACATTTAGGAGACGGGCTAGGCCTACTTCAACCCAATGTCAGGACCAACCTGGGCTGAGAGGGAACAACGCCCCAGCAGAAAGACAGAGGTTCTCAATAAAAATTTCTCCCCATATGGGAATCTAACTGAGGTCTTTAGCAAGCGACGATGAAGCACTTGGCTCGTGCACATTAAAAATAAACAGGCCTTAACATCGCAAGAATAGCCGATCCAATATTTATTTTTAAGTGCATTGAACAGAGCTTTTTGTTTTTTACAACCGAACTATGAAAAAAAAACGATCTTGCACTTTTGGTGCAAGCCTCTCAACGCAAATAACCAGAGAATCTTTTGTAATATGTACTGAGCTCACAGCAATGAAGGTTCGCGGCGTCACGACACAGTACAGCAGGACTGCCCGCGAGTCACAACTCACCGGAAGTTCCCCCCGGTAGCAAGCGGGAGGCAAAGCAAATCACAAGCCGCTAGCGCAAGCCGTTCGCTGCTTTGCAAGCCTTTGATTAACCGAGCAGAATCCAGCCCTACTAGCCACAAGAGCTGCGTAGAACAATTCAGGAATAAAAAACGCGCGTATCGGCACCAGTACCAAATTTGCTAGTATTTCTTTACTGCAAAGCTTGCAAACGATTGATAAACATAGATAATAATAATAATAATGAAGATCATTTCTATAGAGCCCACTCTCATGTAAACACAGCTACAGGCGCTTCCTGGCAGCTGCGTGCTCTCATAAAACGTAAACATGGAAATGACTTTAAAAAGGCAAATAAATTCACTTTTTGACTTACATTTGCAGGTTATTTAAAATTATGAGTTAAGTTTTAGTTTAAGTAGAGGTTTTACAGCGCTCGCAACTGCATAAGCAAAATTATGAGTAAAATGGGAGGAACTGAGGACTAAAAAAAGTGAGAAATGTGACACAATTGAAGACCCGGTGTCCGAAATACGTCACGAGAGCGTTAGATCTAGACCATAAATACTTAGACATTAGGCTGCTGTCCCAGGTAACGAGCTAAGCTGAAAATCAGTGCTGACAGTGGGAATGCATACCCCCTGGCAACGAAAGGGTTAAAAAAAAATCATCTAAGAAAAATGTTTCATGTGTGCAAAACAAGCAGGATTTGTTAAAAATGGAAAGAAAGTATGATGATAAAATTTGATGGATGAATATAAAAATGAAAAAAGGTCAACATTGAACATTTTGAAAAAATCTGTGAAGTACTTAGGTTTTCCTTTAGGATACCAATGAAAGAAGACCTTGGAAACATTATCATTAACATTGAAATGATGGTGACTCTATTAAATTGGCATAAATATGTGGGTGGTCGAGTAAACAGCATCATTGATGCTTTTCTAAATCCATAACGTACATAAATTAACTAGATGTCTGGAAATAAGGACCACCAAAAAAACAACTTGTTCGCAGTAGAACAGACGTACACTTTACTATCTGCAAATGGAAAAGACAACACTTCCATTGTTGTTTAGTCGCCTGAACACTTTGCAATTACATGAGCATCTAGCTCATGACAATCTTTGGTTATTGTGGAGAAGGGGTAAATTTATTTATTTGCCAACAAGAGTATCACATCTAGCCAACAGGTATGGATATACATGGTGTGCTGGCCCAGTGTAAATCAGCTATTAGGTTCTCAAAGGATTTCTTACATCAGGCAAATCAACAGTGGAACGAAATATATAAGAATCTAGCTAACGCACACCTGCCTCTAAAACATGCTCCAACTAAAACCACAGAAATCACTACACTAACAGTCACCACCACCAGCCCTGACTCTTTCCTTCCTTTCCCAAACCCAAACAGTGAAACAGTAAACAAGCACCACATGAAAATGACCCCACAATAAAATGCTCAGTTCATAGAATTTTTTTCTCTCCAATTTTATACTGACCCCCCATCTATCTCAATTGTAATTATCATGTTGTATCCGTGACTTGAACCCATTTCATCTTAAAGAACAAACTGAATTCAATGAGCCATGATACATTGGATCTTTTCTATTTTTCAGAGAGAGAGAGAGAGACAGGGAGGGGGGAGGGAAGGGAGGAGGCTGGGAGGCAGAAAGGCAAGCTGGGAGGCAGGCTGGAAGGCAGGGATTGAGCAGCTAAGAATTTATGGAAATTCAAAGGGTAAACAGCAAAAGCAAAACAAAGCCACTATCCGAATGAAAGCAGTCGTCAGTTTCAGATAGCCATTAATTGAGTAAACTGAAATTGCAAGGCGTGTTGACAAAATGAGTAACTTCTCCCAATCTTTGAATGGAGATATCAGCTGAAAATCGACAAATTTATAGATTTTTCAATCAATGCTATTTCTTCAAGTTCAACAAGTGTTTTTTAGCATTTCATATTTTGAAAATTTAACAAGTAAATTTAATGACGCAATAGTCTATATACGGTATAGCAAAAATTCGAGAAGTAACTCATTTTGACATGAAGTCTCATAATTACTCCAAATTTTGAATAAAAATCAGATAACACGGGAGAAGGTCATCTCAATGTAATGAATATTGAAAAACAGCAAATGATAAAGAGGAATGGAGTCAATGCAACCATCAATCACAATGAAGCCAAAAGGCAAAGGGTAATTAACAGTTGTTGTTTTTTTAATCGTTAAGTTAACTACAGGAATTAAAAACACTAATCAACAGAGATTACAACGACTGAACTCTTACCAGGTGCTGTACTTGAAACTGTCTCATTTGCATGGCCATTGTCACTAGCTCCTTCACCATCCTCTTTTGGACAGAACTCTGACAAATCCCCGACGACTTCAAACTCTTTCTCATCATCAAGTTTTTCGCTGTTGACAGATACCAAAGAACATACAGGGTGATCCTAAAAAAACTGTACAACTTTTCTTCTAAATATCTCACACAAAATTTGTCCTAGAATGATGTAATTTGGAACAGATATAATTCATTCAAAAGGATCTGTTTGACATAAAATTCACAAAGAAGAAACTTATTTTAGAAAACAAAAAATGCGCCAATTTAAAAGATTTTGTAAGGAAAGTCATGAAAGTTTGTTTTTTCCTTTCCTTTTATTTTTAAAATCTAATCTTCCCATCCCTGTAACCTTTAAAAATATTTCTTTTCTCCTACAGTATTAAGAAACTATTTTATAAATTCTGGAATTCCGAGAACCAATGGTCTACATGTCCTTCTTTGGACTCGACGCATGTAATGTTCAGTTGTGGCCAAACACAAGGACCCACTCAACCATGAATACTCAAAGCCACACACACTGTACACCTTACAGTATGGAGCTGTTTCTGGAGACAATGGGGAGGGGGGGGGGTGAGGTTGGCCCAAACAGATAGCATTTGTGGAGTTGATATAACCTGAAAGGGGAATATGGTCTTCGCCAAGGAACCAAATGTCACAGAGGAATCATTAACATATTGCTATCCTCTGATAGCTTCGCGAACAGGAAAATGGTACAGTCGTAGATGAAGATCTGCCTTGAGAATGTGGACCGTTGAGATGTAGGAAAGTCATTGCTGCAGGCATCGTCTACAGACGTCTCAGGGGGCTCATCTACCTAATCTTGACCATGATCTCAGCAGGCAAAAGAAACTTGAGAAAAACTATCTGCAAACTTCTGTTGACCTGTTAGACTCCTGTAGTTTGCAATATGGCGCAATCCCTGGGATTTTTAGTGGTGTGCCTAATGCGAACTAGTGCATCATTCTACAAAAATGGGGACATAGCTGAAAACAGGTTTTTGTTATTTCGCGCTATGTAGAGCAAAACTATAATGTGGACTTATCTAAAATGAATATCAGACAAATTTTTTTTGACTTCCAAATGTTGTGTACAAGTTTGAAATGCAAAACTTCAGTGTGGAGAAAAATATTTTTTTTTTAAAGTTTAAGTTGTTTTTTTGGATCACCCTGTATGTGTCATTACACGGTGGAATCAGGGTCTCGTCAATTTTGGGACATGGAGACATTAGTATCATCTTAAAGCCTGGTTTCATAGGTAGAATACGCGAGAAAATGACCAAAGTTTGGTGACGTTCACAGCTTGAGAGTGCTTGGAAAATGAAAATTTACATTTTTTGTGCCTTTAGTAAACGTTTTTCCAGCAAAATTCACACACAGAAATGCGTCTTAAAATGGAATGGACATAAAAGGCATTGCGCCAAACAAAAAAAATTCCGTCCAAGGTAGTTGTGCAAAACACATTCAGAGAACATTTCAATGACAAAATATTTAAATGCATAAAAACTATCAATGCTCTTTATTATTGAGGAAAGGGGTGAACTTACACATGCGCCACATTGACAATTAAAGAGTAGTTCTGAAGAAAGTCGTCGCACTTCAACCTTGTGTTGTGTCCAATGGCAAATTCTGACAAAAACTTGTCATTATTTTCTGTGGAAGAGACACATTTTTTTCCAAAATATAAAAAACAATAAAATTCAATCTCTTTCCTCCATAAATAAAACCTCTTGGTAAACTTCATACGCAACTGGACACCAGTCATAATAAAGCCCTTTTTCAAAATAATAAAGATGAAATGACAGGACTTCCCAAAGAATCACACATGATCCAGAAGACCCCCCATACCTGCCCTTTTTTATTCAATGCATTCAATGTTGACAACCCCATCACTTGTTGCCATTGTTGTAGTAGAACAAAAAGCACAAAAACGCAATAGTCATGGTCATTCAGTGTTCAGCAGGACAGAAACAGAAGGAAAGACAAATCCTCCAGGGGCACTCTCCAGTCACATATCCCATCATTTGTGAAGGGGTGGAAGCGGCAGTGAAATCGCTGGAAAAAAGGGAAGTCAACAAGAGTAGGCAATGTTCCAGCATTAATGATGCACGCAGATGGGGCAGCCACAATAAGAGCTCTACTGACCATCTAAAGCAAGTTATGGAAGACAGGAAAGTGACCTACATTTTGGACACAATTTTTATTTAAATGCCAATTTTATTTTTCTTATTTAATAACTCAGATGTTACACTTTAAGGAGACTTTTAGTTCCACATATGAAAAGATTCTACACCCAAATTCAGTTTTGTTAAAACTTTGAAATGATCTACTGTACCAATGTTCAATCTTTTACTAAAATGTAACAAACTAAAAATTGGGTAGACTTGGCACCCTAGAAACACTGATTACTCTTTATCAAAGTAATTCTCGAAACAGCTTTCAGATCAGAGACGGGCAATAGGTACATTGTTTCAAACGCTGGCAAAAATATTAACTTGACAATGAGACAAAATTGTGTCAAAAGTAACTTTAAGACACCGCTTTCATTAAATTTCTTAACAAATGATAAATGCTACAACATACTTCAGGAAATGGATCAAACAAACTATTCATTTTTATTTTCCACTTAGTTAATATCTTTGCTCAAATATACAGTATTATGTATACTATCCTCAATAACAATCTTTTTAACAGTTTGCCATTCAGCCAGGACTCAAAGTCAAAAGCCTCTGAGCACATAATGCTATGAACTTTACCATAGAGTGGCAGATACATTCAGTGACAACGTCATCTTAATGATGATAACAAACGTAAACTGCAGACAAACCTTCAGTCTCTCCCTCTTCACTGGATATGATGATGGTTCCTGAAGAAATATAAAAAACAAACCATGTTACAAAACAAGAATTAAACTTTTGTCAATCACAGTGGAAATCCATATTGTGCAACACCATGAATTCAGCACAAAACCACAGCACTGACATTCTTCAAAACAACAAATATCCCATCTCCTCAATTTTACAACATGTCTAGATTGGGAAGTGATAAGATGGTAACATAAAAAATCAAAGCTTTTATTTCCAAGTCATGCACACACAAAAAAAACACATACAAAATTGAAGACATTGCCCACACATCTATGCCAATACTGAATATGTATTTTATCCTAATGAGCTTTATAAATAGTAAGGAGATAGCCTGTAATGTAATGCCATACGTAAATAGAGAGCTATTCACAAAAATACAATACAAGAATCATTTTCAATTCTCATACTGCTGACAGGAAATATCACTGCCATAAATTCATTTCTAAGAAGTTAGAAACAGCATTACTCAGCATATAAGGGTCAACTCAAGAAAATGTCAGGGCAGAGGAATCATAACCAGTGTACTTGCCTTTGCCATCATCAATCTCCACATCTGGGGCAATCATGTTCAGATGACCTTTGAGTATCTGTAAACACATCAGCAATGTGTCAAGTTGTTACACATTTAAAAGCATATCAAATGCTAAGTAAAAGGAACAAAAGATAAGCCTGATTTAACTTGAAGGCCTTTAAAGATGTTTGTAAATCTATTTTGTTTCAGCTTACTACGCCTGGAATGGTGCAGAGCAAAGAATTTCATGATTTCAAATTCCAGAACTATGACAAACCCAACAAAGATTAATCAGTTTTCTATTACATTATTTATATTTAATTCCTCAGCTTTTTGATGATCATAAGGCAGCTTATGAACTTTCATAACTTCATTACTTCTGTGTTACTCATAGGAGAGAAAATAAATTTTGATTTAAGGTAAAGGATTAAAACAAAGGCATCATCATCATCGTCTTTCTCACCCTGGATCAGGATATAGGCCACAAACAAACACTTTCCACCTTTCCATATCCTGGGCAAGTCGCTTGATGTCATGCCATGTCTTCCCACTTTTCTGTACATCCATTTCCGTGACTCTTCTGCAGGTTCTACGGGGTCTTCGCCTTGATCTTTTACCCTGTGGGTTCCAATCTAACACTTTCCTTGTTATGCAGCTGCCTGACTTTCTGAAAGTGTGTCCAATCCATCGCCAATGCCTTCTTCTCACTTCATCTCTGACTGGGCTCTGTCTCGTTCTTCATAATATTTCTGCAAATTGCTCACCTCTGCAAAAATCACGTCTCATGTAACTCAACACCTCACATTATGTCCCAACACTTCAAAACATGACAAAAAGCCCGACAACAAATGACACAAAAACTCCTATTTCCTTACTTTATCCTGTAGGGTGCGCACTGTGACGGTGGTTTCGTTCAAAACAACAGTGCACTCTGGTTTGGAAGAACACACATAGCACTTTGGGTTGGGAGGATCCAAGGAACATGGTACTAGAAGGCGGTTTCTGTCATTCGGAATTCTATTGAGGTAAATCTAGGATTAAAAGAAAATAAGGCAAAAACCTTCAATACAAAAATTTTACATGCTTGACATGGATTCATAAAGGTATAAGGTATAAAACAATAATAACAAGATCAAGGAAAACCTTTCACCTAAGGATTGTGCACACAAACAGGAAAATGCACACTGTGTGTCACTCATCGGTGCAAAACCAACCCAAAGTCTGATAAAAGTGAGGATACTGGTTTTTTATACACATTAATTCGAACAGCATGGGCTTACTATTAGCCCTGATACAGCATGATCAATTCACAATAACCCATATATGAAGGCTGACAGTAAAGTTTGTGCTGATGACAGCATGCATGATTTGTGGTTCACAGCAAATGGTAAGAAAAGCCACCACACAAATGGTGTGTGTTGCACATTTTAATTTCTTATTTGCTTTTTATTTTTGTATTTTTTGTTTTTGTTTTGCGGGTTAAATTCGCTTTCCAATGAGGAATCAAAACATTCAAAACCATTCTAGCTCTAGTGTGTAAATTGCAAGAGGACTGCCCCCTGTATCAAAAGCAGGAGTCATGTATGACAAACCCCCCAAAAAGATAGATTTTATCTTATGACACCAAAGTCTGAGAAATAACAATAATCAAGAAGAAAACAATTAAATCAGGGGGAAAAATTCACCTGTTTACACTTGGAGATCTTGTTTGACAAAATTTTCAAGGCTTCCATGACGATGAGCCCAGCTATAACTGCATTGGTTGTTGCAATAGCTGGGATAATATTGCCAGCCATTGCTGCAATGGAAAGAAAGCAAAACACACTTACATCAACTAATTTTAACAAAACTGCATTTGTAATTTAATATTTATATGAATAAAAGCAAGTTAATTTAGGATGTTTAATTATGAATATTCTTCTTTCAGTGAACCAGTAAATACCTAAATTTTGCTAATTGCTAATGACTTTTAGATTCTTTTGGTCATACAACTTTTAGTCTAGAGCAGATTAAATAGAGCGATTGATTTTATCTTGTTTTAACCGCGGTGAGATGAAAGTGAATAAGCTAAAAGAATAACCATATCAGGAAGCTCTCTTGCATGAATTAAGTAGCACCCCTTGACACTTGCCTTAATAATCAGTTCGCTTATAAACCTGTTGGAAATGTTTGTCTCTTGGTGACCAGGTTTTTATGACAAAAACCATAAAACATATATATAAATTTCACATCAGGAAAAATAAACCGTTTTCTAATATTCTCAATTTAGGAGCCATGATTTAACTCGATTCAGTCTAAGGCCCTCTTCTGAAAATTACGCTCTCTCCCAAGATAAGAGCACAACTCTACAAAATCAGACATTTTACAAACTGTCTACAAAAGCAATGATACATCATAAAAATATTGAATTACACGCATAAAATAGATAAAATATTAAAGTTTTAATTCAAACAGCTGTCAACGTTTCAAGGCCTTTCCCTATTATTCTGGTCAATAAGTTCTACCTTTGTCTCAAGACTCAACTAAACCTAGATCTCAATCCTCATCAAAGTCTGATTTCTCCTTCTAACCAGGCATGAGTTTCTTGTTCATTTAAACCTCCCCTTTATTATACCCTCATCATTACAGAATAAATCAATACTATATAGATTCAAGCTCCACTTGGGAGTAAAAATTGTAACTTTCTACTAGCTCAATAGCAAATCTAAAAATATCAGCAGAAACCAGACAACTTCAGCAAACCAAAATTCAAGCTGACAACCATATTCGAAAAAGACTTTTTAAAAGTTGATTACAGAAAAATCTTAACTATGGCAGGTCGTGAGCATGAAATTGTTGAGTGACAATGGTGGATCTAGCTAGGAGCACTGGAGGGTTCGAGCAGTGATCAACTTTAATTGATTTGATCTAGGCAGGTATCGGTTGAATCCAGGAGGTTGATTCTCCTCACAACAAAGTTATCAAGCACTTTATAAAAATCCTACTACATTTCTTTGCTCTATGAAACAAGAATGTCAAAATGTCTAGTCTGCCCAGCTCACAAGGGGCGCTCCAATCCCCAATGTAACACAATCTCATAAAGAGTGAGAGGCACTAGACTTACATTTGATATCAAACCGAGACTTCATTGGAATGCCGAAAACATGAGCACGAATATTAGCCACACAAGCCACGAAGTCCATAGCATGTTGATCATCCTGAAAAAGTAAAAGAAAATGGGGAAATCTTAAGAAGCACTATCTAAATTCAGAAAATAGGTTACACAAATTAAAAATGAAAAAAAAAATTAACTGTTCTTTTGACCTCTCAAGTTCATCTGAGGTCATTCCAAAATGGCAGACTAGAAGTAGAGTAGAAAAAGTGAAATAACTATTATATTTTAAGAATATTCACACCAAAAAAAAGTTAAAATGCATTATTTTCAAGCCTCTTAGACCATCATGCCCTATGAAAAAATTTTGCATGTAAAGAATGGAACGCAGTCAGCCCAGCTCTGAAATTTAAAAAAGCGCTGCATTGCAAAAAAAGGCAAAGGACTCTTGGGAAGGACTATTTTTTAGACATCCAATTACATATACCGTCAAGTGATCATTCACCTTTCACATGTCAGTAAACTAGCAAGTTCAGTTTCTGACCCAGTTTCCAGCTCCTGTCTGGGTGGTAATTTTAAGCTGGTATGTAAAATGTACTAAATACAGTGATGTGAAAGTAAAGAGCATTAAAGAAGAAATGAGGAGCGCTTGCCTGATCAACAACATCACAACAGCTCCACTTAGGGTTTTTTTTAAATGGGAGAAACATCACACAAACACAGTAATACTCCAGTTTCTGTCAACATTATACGCTTGCATGTTGTGAATGCCTTTTTTCTGATTGTCAAGTTTCATTCATTTTTGTTGACGGAAAATTGCTGTAATTATACTTAGAAAAAGTTACCTCTAATTCCTAATGGCCTAAAAATTACACCTCGTAAAGCGTTATTTTCTGCCCACCTCGCAGCTACATTTATATTACCATAAGAAAGTGTGACAGTATTATATCTTGGACCATAATGTATTGGTGTAACTATATTGTGTGCCCTACAAAGGAAACTACTTTACTGTTCATGCTGGAGGAAGGCACTCCAATAAAGGAACTCAGTTTAAGTTGTGCTGGGCTACTGATCGACATGGCGAGTTGGTTCTGAGTCTTGTATTATATTTAAAGTATCTGTGGTCTATCCTGTTTGATATTAACCATCCACACCTTTATGGAAAGTATCATTAAGTCAAAAAGAATGGAACAGTCTTCCCAAAGACTAATCAAATCTCTACCTTTCATGTGTCAAGTCCTGTTTTCCTGCTTCATTTTCACAACATTTCCATTATGAATTGAAATCCACCACGTTGCACCTGCACTAAAAATGCTACCTCTTTTAAATCTATGCTCAGAAAAGCACGTATTAAATTCATATTTCACAAACCTGTTTTCTCATTTATTAAAACTGGGCTTTGCTTTCAATTAGACCTAGTGATGAGTAGAAAACTCACCAATCACCAGGGCTCCCCTTTACGCACAAATGTGCGTATATTACTCATTAAACCTGCAAATTACCCCCTTTAAGTTTTGGTTGTGCGTGAGCTTTACTCTTTATAATTTCATTTCGGGGGTTTGCGTACGCTTTAAAACGTAAGTGGTGTGCGTCTGGCAAGCATCATTTCCCCCCTTCTCTGTCCCAAAGCAGAGTCAATGATTTGACAACACATCCACACACATGCGCGACAGTCACCTTCTGTGTCAGAAGTCGACTTGTCGACCTACTTAAAGTTAGTACTTATCAGCTGCGCGCAGTTTCCGGTCGCTCACATTTGCTGATGTTGTGGCTTGAGTTTACCCCTGCCGAGAGATTACAATATCCCCATCCTTCTTTAACACACTAGTAGACATGTTGTCCGTCATCCAAAGTGTGGAAAGACTGGAATGTGAACCCTGGGATGGCTCTGAAGGAATCAGTTTATTTTCCAAACCTGCCACTCATCCCTGCCCTAAATCTCAAGCATCCCGATTTTCCCGATATTGATCGCGTGTACCCTGTTTTTTTGTTTTTTGGGGGGTTTTTTGCTCCGCCTGTTACACCGGATTTTTCTACAATCTTACTCTTGCCTTCTTTTCTGTTTGTAAGCACGTGTTAAACTTTTTGTCAGCAGAAACTCGGAGCGCTATTTTCCTAAATGTCTATGTCGAATTTAGTAGTTGACTCACCAAAAGTTGTCTTGGATATTTGCTCGCACGTGTTATTTCAACTATAATGGATTGGAAGTAGTGTTGATTGTACTTCAAACATTCTCAAGATCTACTTTCGTCAAAGGCAAAATATGCTTTGTCCGAGTTCTGGTTAGTCGGGACCGTCATCAAGACCCTTCAGTAAAACTGGTTCAATCGTGCGATCGCACCACGTGACATGACTTCGGCGCGTGAGCCTCGCATGTGTCGGGGACCGTTGTTGACGGGGTCAATTTAAGTTCGAATGCATACCGGTTGAAGCGTCTTTCGGGACTTATCCGGGGGGAGGGGGGCGCGTAAAACACTTGGACTAGGAGACCTTGACATGATAATTCAGGATTTTTTTTTTTAAAAGATAAAAACACACACATGCACGCGCTCGTGCTCACACACACAAACACACACACACATACACGTGCGCGCACACACACACACACATACACCACACACACGCACGTGCGCAGAGGGAATATACATGGATATAATAATGGACATCCCTGGAATTTTTTTTAAGTCAGCTTGGCAATGACCTAGGTGATTTGTCATTGATCCCGATTTTTTTCACCAAGTCCCAATTTTTTTCCCCACTGAGATCCTGACTTATTAGATTTCATAGAGTGACAGATCTGTTTTTCTTGGAGTATTATAGTCGGAGTTGACCCCTTTTGGTTTGTAAACTTTATTTTATTTTTGATAGACCCAACTGCTCTACCATTACCACTCTTCCCCCTTCCAAATGGAGATAACTCTAAATCTAGTCAATATTGCTCATTTATTTCTTCAGCTAATTAAAATCGTTAGCGTTCAATCATAGTCATGGTCGCTCTATGTGTGTCTGTGTCAATGTGCGTGTGAGTTAAACGTTTGCAAGCAAAAATTCTTATTGTAAAATTATGAGATATTGACTTTTACCTTTTAAGTTTCTAAAACAAGGATTTAAATACCCCTTAAAATAGTAAATCAAAGGGTAACGGAACCTCTTTAGTTGGCCTGAAAGGGGGAGCCCTGAATCACCCCCCCCCCCCAACCTGTTCAACAGGCTGTAATTATCTGTGTAATTTTTTCACAGCATTAAAGGAAATGTATGGACCAACCTTGTCCCAAACTAAGACTCCATCTTCCCCTCTTGCTGCTAGATCAGCCTTGAGAGATGCCAGGCATCGTGTGAAGATTTCCGCACATTCATGGACAGACCACAGTCGCTGATCCCGCATGACGGTCTTGTCTACCTTTTCTCCTAAACATAAAATTAGAGAACTTTAAAAAAAATGATAGAAGATCGCCTTTACTGAATAACAAACCAACATGGTTTCAAACACCACAGAAAGCAATGTTAGGGCATTATAGCCAGTTGAAACTCCACACCATAACAGCACACAGGCAATCATGTCCATTTCTCTCATTATGACCATAAAGACAAATTCTATAGCACACCACCTAATGCACAAGTCAATTGAAAGGGTGTCTTTTGATAAAGTTAATAGACATTTCATAGTGCCATTCTATTTATCGTTTATTCTCTCATTTGTCTAACACGTCTTTCAAAATCGAAATAATGACAACAAAACAAAAGAACGTAGAGAAATGATTTAGCAAAGGCCATATTTACTTAAGCAAAAGTACAAAAAAAAATAATGCATGCAGAAATTGAAAAAATTAAGACAAACATACCTTTACCAGGTAGACTGTTATAGTCTTCTGGCTGAGGAGGTCGACGCTTTTTCCAAAGTGTTTCCATGCTCAGAAGATATTTGATATCATCTCGGAACAACTGCAGGAGAGTAAATAATATATTCTTATATGACTCGTAGTGTGCCTGAATATTAGCAGTAAAAGGCAGCGCCCATTACAGCATAAAGCTCAAAATAAAACTAAACTATCTTTCTCTATGTCATTTCCCTTCTCCGTTGCCTTGTATGTTTAATGGCAGCCCTTGTTTCCCTCATGCAAATTCCTTTAGCTCATTAGTGTCAAAAAACCAGTTCAAATACAGGTTCCAATCTACAATACATCCACTCTGGATGGCGTACCATACAACACCACAGTGCTCAGCCCAGGTTCTTGTTTGAGGAGATAAACTAAAGAGGAGGGACATGCACACACTGAAATTATAGGCCAATGTTGGTGTCCAAAGATTCTGAATCTAAAAAAACAAATGTGAAACAATTTACAGCGACCAAGTTGCTATTAGAGGTAAAGATTGCAGTGACAGGGGATTTATTCATGAAAAATTCCATTATACAAGCTCAGATTTAGAGGACGTTGCTCTTATCTGAGTTGCAGTTTGGTGCACACCACTGTGCTTTGATGTGAAAGGTATTAGTTGTACCAAAACAAGTCTCTCCACTCCCCCAACCACCCCCAACATACATGCATATACACACACAAACACACAAAAATACAGAACAATAAAAACAAAATTACAAACCTTGTTAAAAATTTTCTCTGCGTCATATCCTGTTTCCATGGCCCATGCTCTTGTAGACTTGCGCACAATGCCACCAACAGTGTCTTCTTTAGCCTCAGACTCAAGGGCTGTCTGGCCCGCATCAGCTTTTGGGAAAAGAAACAGAAAACGGTTTGAAATAAGAGTAGAAAAGACATTTGTTTCTATATATACAAGTAATATGGCAATAAAACATGTCACTTGTCAGTGAGACAGAGTTCATGCTAGTTTCTTTGCATTTCTCTGATTAAAGACAGCCCTCATCTTTTTACAAAAATAAAATAGAGAGATACTTTTGGTGATCTTTAAATTCTTTTTCTTTTTTCAGTTATAAGCATTGGAGAATACAGAATGGATTCCCATTCTATCATTAGTAATATAATATATAAGCTTCCTCTTTGCAACATTCTGCTTTGTACTTGTATTGTCAACATTTACAGAATCTACACAACAGTTATCAATCAAAACCCCAGCAAGCAAGAATTATAAGTATGAAAACTAATTATCAGACCAGCCACTCTATGAAATCTAAAAATCGAAATCATGATGCTTGAGATTGGGGGGAAAAAATCAGGATATCCCAATTAAATCGGGAAGAGTAGCACGTCTGAATAATCCATTATCACATTCCTGCATTATCATAGTTAAATCAATCTTGACATTTACAGACCAAAAAAATTCAAGATACTGGACAATTTAACATTTCTCCCTTGCACTTGCACAATTCTGTTATGAGCCCTCGAAGTATTTGTGTCACAACGAGGTGGAATCAGGCATGGCAATTTTTGTGCATGTGGAGTTATTGGTATCATCTTAAAATTTGTTCATTTATCCTGCTTTTGATGAAAAAAAATACCCATCTATCTTGAGCAGAAGTGAAGATATTTGAGATTGAAAGAGGAAAGTTCACTTGGTTTCAGCGGTAAAAACCGCAAGAAAAAGGCCGCCAAAGTTTGGTAACTTGATTAGCTAAAGAGTCCTTGAAAACTGAAAAATTACATATTTTGAGCTTTTAATCAACGTTTTTCAATATAATTCACATGGAAATGTGTGTTTATTTGGACATAAAAAGGTTGAACAAAAAAACAAAAATTTGATTAAAATTGCGAAACTGGTGGGAAAATGCCTGTTTCTCGAATTTTTGTTATTTTGACAAGTGCCTGATTTCATCACGATGCCTCACATTAGTTAAGAGCAACTGTGGATGCTTTATGCCTCGATCGACACAATTTAGATCATTTAAGAGGCAGGCTGCTTCATGCCTGCTTGCAAGGGTCAACCCGGACAGAAGGATACAATGCCCTAGCAAAAAGACTCTTTAAAAAAGTCCTCCCATCCGGGCATCAAAATCAGGTCTTCTGTTTGCAAAAGCACTACAGATGCCCGAGTGAAGTGATTTCTACCATAAAGAAAAAAGAATTTATACCAGCCAGTTCTGGATCTTCAGTGTCAGGAGAGACATCCTCATCAGGGTCATCTTCACCAAACAGTTGACTGGAACAAAGGCAATATATATACTACTTAATACTTTAGATAAATGAGTAATATAGCATTAGAAGCTCATCATATTTTCCTTTGAAATGTGGTTGTATACTCTAGAGCGACACATGGGTGTCAGTCACATTCTTGATCAGATGGTCGATTCAGTTTGAAGCGATACATGTACTGTAAGTGGTTTGCAGCTTTTGTTACTGTTTGAACTACTCAGCCTTGAACAGGAAACTTCTCTCCCCAATATTCCCAGTGAGACAAGAGCAAAGACTGATTCCCACTACACTGGAAACTTTCTACATTATCAGAACACTGCAGCTTATTGCTTATCAACATCAAAATAAGCTGGAAAATGGGGCAACCCATAAGTTTTTGTGTGCCCTGGGGAAGAGAAGCCGAGATCGGGGCCTTGGTAGTGAAGGTGTCCAAAGCAAATCCTGGTCCCCCCCCCCCCCCCAAGATATTATGCTGAAATTTCATTTAGAAAAACTTTAAAAGTTTTACAAAGAAATAGAAAAGCAATATTACCTTATGACACTTGGTTATAAAAACAATTTTCAAAAGACACTACAGGTTATCTTACTTAAAAAGATGCTTGGCCCAAACAACGCAATGGATTGGTTCTGAGGGTGTGTTCCGAATAGTACATCCTGGAAATGTTTTCTGTCTTGGGTTTGGCCTGCACTCATAACATTCCGTCATTTCCTGGAGAAAAAAAATGAATGTGTTCTCTCTACTGTAAAGGGAAGAGCCCCTTTCATCTCAACTCACCTGTACATACGCTCCATCCCTTCATGATCTTGTCAGTAATAAAATCTGCTTAAACATATGATCTTATAAGTTCTTCATACAGCAAGTCCCTACCTTTTATGGTTGCAGGGCAGGTGAGCAGAAAATTAATTAATACAATCTCGAACAAATATAGTCAACACATAGTTTAGTCTTGCATCCCTTCAACTGCCTTTTATACAATTCCTCAATAACTCCCTAGGTTCCGGACGCCAATTCATTTGAATTAATCATCTCAGCCCCCTGTAACCCATTACTTTGACTCAGCTCCGGTCAACAGTCAAATATTGAACTCCATTCAGAGTCTGATAATACTTTGAATGCTTTGAAAGCAATTTTGTCTTAGTCTTAACTCTTTAAGCCCTGAGTTTTTTCTACCGTTTCCCAGAGTTTTTTTCTACAGCCACCTAAACCTAGTGCACTATGTCTGAAAATAACCCCAAAAGCTTGCCTCCAACTTCTAAACAGCAGAAACAAAGGCTTAGTCATTACAAAAAAACTTGGTTCAGGAATAGTTCCGAAAAATAAGCAAACACTAGCACTAAATTTAAAAAAACAGTTGTCACTAGTACTGGACGCTCCCAGCATCCCATGGGGTTCAAAGACTTAAGGATTTTTAAGGACTTCTTAAGAGCAAAACAAAAGAGATTTTGATCCCCCGCTTGCAGCAGACAGCCGTGTGCACAAAACTCAGGCTGTGCCTAAATTTTTGTTGCCACCAGCTGGCTGGACAGTCTGGCACACCAGCGCCACCAACAATAAAATTTTGGTCTTTAAACATATTTACAACTATGCTCTGTCATAAAAATGATATCAAATTTGGAGCCAGCAGCATATCAAAATCAACAATGCCAACCAAAGGTGAGAGAGATACAATGTCCCAGCTGTAAGACCAAGATACTCAATAACCGCAATTTTCCCCAAGCAGGAACTGAACTTGGGTCTTCTGTGAGAAACAGCAAAGTATCAAACTACCACACCACAGATGTCAGTGAAGATACCATCTCTGAAACCAGCATACTTCAACTTGTCAGAATCAGAGAGCAGTAGAGGAGGAGTACACTTTGTAAGTCTCCATCTTTCTCAGGCTGCCAAAGCGTTTTTGATGCAACGGGAGCACTTTGAGATCTTGTCTTTAAGTCTTTTGATTTTAACCCATTAGAGCATGAGGTCTCAAATTTTGTTCTTACTTTCACATAAGTTTCCTTTCAGGTTGTAATGAACTGTTCCACAAGGTTTTTTACCTTCAAAATGTGTATTTTGCTAGTAGTGACTGATTTAAATTTTGCCCAACTAGTTGCATGGATGGGTAAGTAAAAATTCGAACACAGTAAGAGAACAAATAAATGTAAACAGTAACAATATCTGACATTTTAATGACTTTTTGTATTTCCAAACATCAATGCAAAATATTTTTAAGGGTGCCATTTTCAAATGTGAAGCACACTGTGATTCATTGAAAGAGGCAGTGTCACAAAAGAAGGGGTGAGCACCAAGTTAACTTTGAACAGACCGCCTCACATCATTCAAGGTCACACATGTCACTGCATTTCTACAAATACCCTTACCGAAGCCAAAGTGACCATATGGGCTTAAATTGTCTTGAACTTGAATCACGATTGAGAAAACAAAGAGTATTTATCACTAAAACAACGTTTTGAAGCACACAACTTTATACAACTAATGCTTCAAGAACAACAATATTTTTTCCCGGCAAATATTATGTGATTAATCAGTGCAACAGCTCAAATTTTAGTTAACTCGGCCCAAAAAACAGTCAATATGCATAACTGTTCGCCTATTCAGCATGAACATGCGTTCCTCAAACAATGTGAGCCTGAAAAGCACTAAAGCTCTTACCTTCTTTATAACTGTCACTTGCCCTAAGTAACCTGCAGTTCCACTCTCCACAAGAGGCACATCTGCTGCTAAACACATTCTGTTTACATGGTTTCGGGCAGCTGAAAAGAATTTTTAATCTCAGGATGAATTATTTACAACTACAGTTAAACTTTGGTGTACCGGTAATGAACTAAGCTTAAACATACTCTTGACTGTACTGTCTGTAATGTTCACTTTCTGAAATACCGATTACAACTTAGTATTTTTACTCTATAAAAGCTATGTCAACAACGTATCTGAATATAAACATATTTTCTCCCATAACATTTACTTTTCAAGGGAGTTTAGTTATCAAAAGTCCATAATGCACCTTGTACTTTGTGAGAATAAAGTCACACAAAAAAAAGCCACATGTTTTACCATATTCAGGAATACAACATACAACATCATAGGCTACAGTGTGAGCACAAGTTATTCGCAACATACATGTCACTTTTTCCCATCAGTGGACGCTTTCAAATACGATCGCAACTCCCTTGATTCAGATTTTAAGAATTCATTTGTCATTTGGCTACCCCTACCCATCCCCCCCTCCTCCCGGAATGCAAAGAAGAAAAACAGTCAGACCCCGACAGCCTATGTCACTATGACTATGTCTTATGCAGCTGTCTAACTTTAACACCCTCTGTAAACAGGGCTCTTGCAGTCACTCAGTACCACTTTGCCTTTTGAAAAACATTATTTGTGCCAAAGCCAAGTGAAAGGCAAACAGACATGGTGTTAAAAAATTCCTGTACTTTGTGTTATGGGCGGTTGTCTAGGCCAACAAAAATTATTTTTTTTTAACGGAACACTGAAACAATCAGCTGTGGCATGTAGCATGGTTAGTAGCAATGCACAATCAGGATCAAATGCATGTGACAAATTTTTTTGCAAGAGTCAAGACAACAGCAAATAACAACCTTCCCCCTCCCCCCATATTATCAAGTTTTTCAGCCAGTCTACTCACTTTTTATTTGTTAATTACTAAAACTTACGCTAATGGGTAGGCAGCCCTGGACTAATGTTGAACCTGATGGCTGTTATCTCTCTCATAGACTGAGACATCATAGTCATAAGGTACCACCATTACCATTTCCCATTCATTTTTACTTGCTGCACGCATCAACTTCTACAGCACTGTCATTCTCCTTTCTGTTGAATTACTGATTTCTGTGTAATGGCTTCAATGAGAAAAGCACTGTCTCTAAACAACAAGTTGTCCCTCATCAAAGATATATGAAAAAAGGACAAAAATAAGCTGACATAGCATGCATTGAGAAAACAGCTGTAGCCACCATTTTTATTTTTTTTTGTCTGAAGTGTAAGCGTTAAAAATTTTTGGGTCCAAAGGGAGTATGTTATACTATGGTTTTACTGTAGTAATTTAATATGCTTACAGTAAAATACAAGCATTGCATCAATAGCAGCTAAGCTGATCTAAACATGCTTGTAGCCAAAAAGATTTTTTTTTTCTATATTACATGAGACACTGGTATCCCATTTTGTCAAAATAAATTAAAAGATTTTACTTTAAATATTAAAAAAGCTTTTATAATGGTGCTTTCTCTCAAAGCTCAATATCAATGTTCTACCTCTGTGCAGACCCAACATTGTGGAACTACGTGTGCAAATCAGGAAAGATGATTCTAAAATAATACCCCTTCCATGCAAAAATATAAACATTTTTAAACAATCCGAATCCTAACATCAATTTTTTTTTCTTCACATTTTCAACTAGCATAACATCGATTTTGCAACAAGACTCTCTTTTTACACAAGACAATTGCTGGTACAAGCATAATATTTTCAGTTTATAAACTTAGCTAACTTTGTGAACCCATGTCTGGCCCTTAGCCAGTAACTTTATTTTATTATGGTTACTAGAAATCACGAAAAAGAAATAAAAATTTAAAAATAAAGACAGATACACGCTAATTTTTGTAATTAACATTAACAAGTTTTTAATTTTTAAATGCCTTATTTTCATGATTCCCCAACCCCACCCATCCCTTTCCCCCTTCACATGTCTCTGATGATAATCTTGCCAGATAATGAACCTTTTCCAGACTGTTGACAAAGTTATACATCCCATAAAAGGGCTGCTCTGTGAAGTACTAAGGCTGACAGTTCAACCAATTTTTGTTCCATTCCATGAATATCACTTCTGGTCTACCTTGAATTCTTGATGTTTTCTATGTTTAATAGCAGCAATTTTTTTAAAAGGGAGGCACAAATGTTAGCAAAACAAGCACCAGCATTAGGCAAGGGAAAACAGCCCAGGAGTGAATGGGAAAATTGTAAGCTGTTCTTCCATGAACAAGTCCTTACTTCATGTTTAGAAATATAATGAACATAATAAACTGGAAAAGAGATAATTATTGAATGACTTGTCCTCACCTCGATTATCAAGTGCATTCAAAACAATAGAAAACTTCTTGAAGTAATCCAATCCAAATTCAGTGCTGAGGAATAGAAAAAAGTGCACACAACACTATATTTAAAGAGTGCAGTATTTCAAAAACAAAGCTTGGCAAACAGTTAAATTTGTTTAGCAAATAACTTTTCCCTATTTCAATTACTCAGTACTACTTTTGTAGGGAGAACTCATAAGTACCATTAACTATTCCTTTTTTCTCTCTTTTTTTTTTGAGAGGACATGGCGTTTTAATTCAAACTAATCATGCAACATTCTGACATTTTGCTCTTGACTTTGAATTCTGAGCATGCCACTGTCAAAATCAATTTTATTCTATTTTCTTTATCAATTTTTGAAGGGATAAAAGGCAAAAATTATTCATGTGTTGGCATTAAGTCCCCAGAGTATTTCATCAGGCAATGAGCACTTTGAGACATGAACTTTTTATAATATAATTCTACAGACTTAACAATGTCTGCTGTCATAACACTGCTTTTCATCTGTCCTCTATACATCTTTTTATATTTGCTGCACCCCTCTCTGTATAGGTTGAGTTTGTACTATCTGTCAGTAAAAATTGATAAAAGAAATGTTTTTAACTTGAAGAAACTGGTATCATTTGAAAATCAACAAACTGAACCCATATTTTAATTTTTGGTCGATATTTCCATTTACGAATTGCAAAAAGAAACTCATTTTGTGAGCAAACTTCATATTTTTTTTAAACTTAAAAGTGTCTTTAGAAACACTGGGTAACAGCAGAAATTGTGGAAACTTTGAGAAAGTATGAAATGTCATTTTCCTCACAGGGTTGGGTTGATTTAAATCAGGTCGATTTAAATCAGTTGATTTTTTAAATTTAAATCAACTTGATTTTTTAAATCACTTTTTTTTTAAATTTATTTTTATTCAGTTTTTACATTATTTCAACATTCAGAATTTCTTTCCTTGGTTTCATGAAAGAGATATATAAGGTTTAGTAGACTAGATCTAATATAATTATTCTTAAAAGTCTGCTTTCCCCCCTTTCACAGTAAAATAATACAGTATTAGTATTCAATTTACTTTTTTTCCATAAATTGAAATCAGAGCTGGGTTGATTTAAATCAGTTGATTTTTTTTTAATTTTAATCAACTTGATTTTTAAAATAAAAATCAGTGATTTAAATCACTTTTTTTAAAATGTATTCAGTTTTTACATATTTAAACATTCAGAATTC